ATTGATAAAAAGGAAGTTAAATTAACCTTTGGTTTTAAAAAAGTGTTAGCAATATTTTCATGTTGAAATGGTTAAATTAAATTGATAAATTGATTAGATGAGAAGAAAAAAGGAAAACTGAAAATATAAAATATGGTGGTACTAAATACTCATTGGTCGAGAATTAAAGAATATTTTTAGATGTGAAGGATTAGACCTTTAACATTTTAATTATGGAAATTTCAACTGAAATAAGTTAAAAGAAAAGAAAAGCATAATGTAAAATTTGAAGAACTCCGAATTTCATTTTTTATTTATTGGTTCCTTCTTTATTGAAACTTAATTTTACAATTTAAAATAAGTGTTAAATTAATGTGCCAAAATTTAAATGAATAAAGGAGTAATAATTCTCTGATTATTTTATTAATAAATTCTTAAATTTCGAGAACTAACTTTGCAGATAAATTTTTAAGCTTTTGATTGGAAAGCAGTTTTAGATTTTTATAGACAAATTTTTTATTTAAAGAGACAAAAACATCGAAGAGAGTAAATTTACATAGTCATTTTCAGGTGCTTGAAAATTTTTTTTAATTATTTAAGTACTTTAGATAAAAATTAGCTCAATTGCTTTGGGATTTCAATGATGTAAAAAGCTATTTTGGGCTATTTTTTTCTTCCCTCTAATAATCGACCTGTCAACAAATTAATTAATTAATTTAAAAAGTGGTTAAAATGAGTTGTAACAATTTTCACCATTTTTTAGTTTAAGGTTGAAAAGAAAAACCAGTTATCTAAAAATTCTACAAGTTTATGTTGCATAATTTTATTATTCAAATATTGAAAAAATGTTGAAATGGAAATTTTTTTCAAAAACATACAATACAAAGAAAGAACGGAAAAAAATCAAGGGACAGAGATAGAGAGGAAGAGAGAAAGAAAGAGAGAAGAGAAAAGAACAGAAAAAAGGGGGAAAATAATGCGGAAGAAAAAAATCAAAATTTGAATTATCTTGAATATTGGAGTTATGAATTTTCCCACAATTTCAATTGAAAAAATCACGCATATATTGCATTATTTCGGATTCCGGATTTCGTACTATAACCATTCCGGTCTGCCATTATATAATATAGGTAATATTCGTTACATTTAAGCAATTCCATCTATTCATAAGCTTTCCAAACTTTATCAAAACTCTACCATATGCTTTCCTCATCAACAATTTCTTTCAATTATATTGTACGCTATCACTAAGTAAAAGCCACATAAAACCACGTGAGCACATGAAATTTTCTAACTGCTTGTGGATTATTCCATCCTGTTTTTGGTGATAAATTTAGAAGCATAAAATAATTACAAATATATTATTATTACCCTAAACGAATAACTTAAAATGAATGGTATGTTTCCTAATTTGTTTGTACATTTGACATTCCAAATCAACACGAAAGATAGCTTTTACACGCGTAAGACGTAGATGAGACGAAATATGGCGTTACACGTATTACATGATGAAACAAGGAGCAGATATCAATAACGCTGAAAAGGCATTATCAGTTACATTCCTGTATTTTATCTATTTCTCGACTATTAAAATTTGGGCGGAAATTTTCAATCATAACAATGGCAACGAAATTTTGTTATTGAAAAATTTTTATATTTAAAAATCAAGGAAGAAAATTTTAGAAAATAATTTCCTAAAAGGAAAAAAAAGTAACGAAATAACTAATGAAATTTTACAAAAATATGATTTGCAAAGTTTGTTAAAACTGGTTGGTTTCATTTGTCGAAAAGAGGAAAAGGGAGGGATAGAGAGAGAAGGATAGAGAGAAGGCGCGAAAGAGAAAGGGAGAAAAGAAAAACGGTTAATTAGTTAGCCGAAAGATGAAAATATTACCAATCATTTTAAACTGACAAAATTCACTTCTTTTAGCCTTTTTTTTCCCTCTTTATTTTTCTCCTTCTTCAGCTTTCGCTCCCTCTCCTTCTCCCTTTCCCTCTTCTTTCCTTTCCTTCTTTTCCGCCATGCTAACAGCAACAAAAACAATACTTTTTAACTTTTTTTGTATTTCAAAGAATATTCAAGAAAAAACACGCTGTTACTCTTTCACGTGTTTCACTACTAATTAATTAATTCTATCCTCCCTTTCCTATACAGAAAACACTGTTTCACTGGGATTTAAATGAATTTATTCCAGAAAATACAAGCATATCCATTTTATTCAAAACAAAATTCTAGTTAAAAAGTAGTCATTTTTTTTTTCATTTTTTAAATAAAGAGCAGGAAAAATTTAATCACCAAATATATTCATTACCAAATTCTCTATTTTGTTTATTAATTTAACAATTTTAGTTGGATGAATGTGCTATGTTGTCTAAATTGCTCAAATGTTCCTTTGGTATAAGTTTGTGCCAAAAAATTCCATCCAAATAGTCAACGAGAAAGATTAAAAATGAAAGAAAAAACAAAATAGAAGAAAGAAGAAATAATATGCATAGGCAAAATAAAAAATGAAAAACTATTTTTCATTTCAGAATTTGTTATTTATATTTGTTATTGCTTCATATAATTACTGTCGTTCACATAAATTTTAAATAAGGTTAAGGTTAACTGCCGTTTTAAATTCGTCTTTTAAATTTTGAAAATTTCTAGATAATTAAAATGATTGAAGCTAAATATCTCTTAAATCTAATCCCATTATTCCCTTTTTTTCCTTTTCTCTCTCTCTTTCTCTAAATGTTGTAATGCGTCTGATTTCCTTCGTTTCTAAGATTTATATATTTTTGAAATTGTTAATTCTCTTTAATTTTTTCTTAAAAAAATGCATAAAACAAAATAACATTGAAGAAATTGATTTGTTTGATCGTTCTGTAAGATAACCATATCAATTAAAAGAGGAAAATTAAATCATTCATCTTGTCATAGCATCTATTACTTTAGTTTATAATATTTACCTAACTCCCATATTCGTTTCACTCATTCACAGAGTAAAAGTGGCTTATTTGAACATTTTTCATTATAACAAAATGAACGGATCATTTCTTTTCTTTGATCGGTAACAGTAGTAGTTGGATAATGCATTTGTTAAAGTTATCAAATCATTTAATTAATTCTGACAAAAAAGTAATTAAACAAAATGAAAACAGGTTAGAAGTGGATACAATAGATAGTAGCCATCAATTTCATTCTTATCCATTTCTTCTCCAGCTCTCATCATTTCAACAATTAAGTGAATAATTTCAAAAAAAAAAAAGCTGATTTAATAAAGAGGAGGAGAAGCAATATATAAAAACTGAAAAAAGAAAAACGATAAGGAAAGTGTAAATGAAATGACACAAAATTAGACATCTAATATAGTAAATTTAAAAAAATAAATAAATAAATAAATTCAAATTATTTCTATTACAAAATACTTTGACATGCATAAAAGGAAAAATAAGTTTTCTAAACAAAAATTTTAATTGTATGGACGATTAATTAAAGCAAATAAAGTAGTTACATAATAAATGTGGTCAATTGTGTTCAGTCAAAATTTAAAAGAAAAAATAATCAATTGTCTGAAATCAGCAATTAATTAGTGATGCCAAACAAATGCTATGATTATACCTTTTCCTTGTGTAATTTCTGGTAAATAATAAATGTTACCTGTTATTTATCAACAGTCAAAAGATTTGTATTATATTGATTGACTGATTAAACCACATAATATTTAAATTAATCTTTTTAATCCATGATAGTTTAAATTTAAATCGCAAATTTCAAAATCCGAAATAAATCACAGCATCAAATATTACATAACATCAGAAATTAATGAACGAATTAAGAAAAATAATTACGAATGGAAAAAATGTGAATTTTTTCAAAATTTGGAATTTTAAGAGAATGTTATCATAGTGAGAAAAAAAGAAAATATATATATATAGTCGAATAAAATAAAATGTTTAATTGTCACAGTGTTTGCACTATCGTATGACAGATAATAATAGATTGATAAGGTTTAAATTTTTAAAGCTATATTAGACGCTATATTTCTTGAGAAAAGCAAACTAATAATGATAAAGACCTGCCTTCGATTTAGTAAATCATTGCCCTACGGCTAATGAATGACCATTAATTTTATTCGAAATTTTTGTTGTATCTTTTGCTCTTTTCCATTATCATCGATTACTCTTTTTTCTTTGTTATCTATTTTCGATAATCATTATTGTGCTTAGTTAAAAAAAATAGTTCAGTGTGTTATGCAAAGTAGCCTTTGTGTTAAACATGAAAAAATTCAATGGTAATAAAAAAAAAAAAAAATTCAATGAAAAAGATGCAATCATGATAATAATATTTAATTAATTACTAACAATAATAATAACAGTAATAATGAATAGCAGTCATTTAATAATAATTATTATTATAATAGTAATAATAATAATAATAATAATAATAATAATAATAATAATAATAATAATAATAATAATAGTAATAATAATTTATGATAATAATAACAATAAATAAATAATAATAAGAAGAATAATAAGAATGTTGTGTCATTCAAAACTAGCTTAATTATGATGCTACTAGCAATCATTATCGCTATCATTGTGACAAACTTGAATTAATCCATCTATATCACGTTATGGACACAACTAGATATTGCAAAAGCATTTGATATCCATCGCTACTTTTGCAAAAATTTCCAACCGATGGTATTTGTTACCTATTGATACAAGCGATAAAGTTGTGATAAGTTTGAAAGCAAATTAATGATAATATCAGTAATTGTTGGCAAATTGTCTACAACAATCAAATGGTCATAACATGCTTCAACATGTATGCTTAATGAATTCAAAACAACTAATGTAAATTTATTATACATATGCTTCAAAGACTTTGTAGTAATTTATTAAAATGCAAGTTGCAAAGCATAAATGAAAAATGTAACGAATAAACATTGCACGAAATAAATTCTGTATATTTTGAAGATTATTTAAAAAATATATAAAAAACATGAATAAAAAACATTTCAAATTCTGAATTATTTTCCGGGTGTCAAATTGTACGGAATTTCACGGAAGCAATTTTGATATATGCTAACAAATGCAGCAAGATCAAATTTTTGAATAGTTTCAAAAATTTTTTGCTCATTGGTCGTTTTTGAGAAACGAATTTCAGTTGCACGATTGCAACTATCCATCATATCCATTTTTTCATCTTCTTTCTGTGGATTGCTCGGTTTCTTTGTTGCTATCAAATGTTGAAATATACCAACTAACATATGTCCCCAATTTCTTGTGGAGCAAAATAGAGCTGCACCAGCATCATCCTGAACATCTTTTAATTATAATTACTCTAATTAAACGGAAGAAATGAATAACTTATAAGAATAAATGTGTATTTTGTAATAACTAATCAATAAGTGTGTAATTTATATGAAATACAGTATGCAATAAGTTGAAAATTAAATGAAACAGATTACTTTGTTCATTTCAAAAATAATTATTAGTTAAAAAATGAAAACTAAAATGAATGAATGCATTCGTAATTTGCATGAATGTAAAATATCTTTTATCGCTTAACTTTTTTTCAATATTTAATTGAAAACTGAGGAAATAATTTCATTCAGTTGTATAAATGAATGACCTTCATTGTGTACTTTAAGGAGCGGAAATGTGAACGATGATTAAAAGACTGATCAGATATTAAAAGTATGTCAGAAGAGGACAATGAATTTTTGTGAGAAAAGAAAAGATAGTAACTAAACTTAAGAAAAAAAGAAATCTTTTCAAGAATTCGCAAAAATTTTGCGAATATCTGCAAGTGCAAAAACAACGAGAAAAATCTATAATGTAAATTGAAGAGATGGCAAGTGGTGCAATGGAAGAAAACAAAAATGCATATGTAGATTGCTACAAAAGATTAAAACAGCACGACAAAAAAGAAAAAATAGTTTAAATTTAGAATTACAATAAATTTTAGCTAATACAAAAAAAGAAATAAACAAACCCAACACGCAGTCTCATTAACAATAATGGGTGACCAAAAATAATTAGGCTTATCTTTTACAGGATTGATCGAATGAATGTTAATTAATTGAATTTGATCTTGCTTGATGAATTCAGTTGCTAAAATAAGAAATAAACAAGTTATAAATTTATTTTTTACTCTTAAAACTACAAATTTCAAAATCTTGAAGAAAAAATGTATTAGTTACGGACCGTTATTTGTAGTTGTAAATCCAACAATCCAACATTTTTTCTTTTTCAATTTCAAAACATCAAAATTTATAATTGAAGACTGCAGCAATGATGGTCGAACATTTAACTGAGCGACATGTTTTGGTGCTGGTACTGGTGGACAAAGCTAAAACTGGCGAAAAAAGTCAGAAAAGAGAAAAAAGAACTAGAATTGAAAATAGGAATAACTATCATTTACTGGAATACTTTGGAATATAATGTAATTTGTACAATTAAAATAAATGTTTGACGTAAATCTGATATAATTCTCTTATTTAAATCTAAAAAATATTTCATGCAAGATAAGAAAAAAAGAAAAATAGTGAAAACTAAACTGGATATTGTATCATTATATGTAATCACTTATTTAACACATATACAAAAAAGAATTTAAATTATTAAATTACTTAATTTTTTATACTTCTTTTACCATTCCAATATCTTTTTATCCCCTTTTTTTGGATCATTTTTTTTTTTTTTTTATTACTCAAAGAACAATAGGAAAATTGGAAAAAGAAAAAGAAATAAATGAAGGAAAATATAACAGAACTTTAAAAAGTTTACTGCAAAAAAAAAATTTATGAAACTTTCAAAAATTTTTCATGAAAAGTTCGTTATTTTACAAAAAGGTAGCAATTTGGTAAGCAAATATTGCACCTAAAATTCTTCCATTACTTCTTTTGCATATTTAATTTCTTACTCTTTAAATAAGATGAAATTATTTGTCCCAGCGATAACCGAAATATGCGACAGAAAATCTATAGGAGGAATTAATTATTTTCCGATTAACAATTAGCTTAATAAATGATGAAAGGTTGTTATCTTGGCATAAACTGATTATATTTGCAGAAATGCTAATATACTTTTAACAAAAGAAATGGCAGGAATTTACTTATTAGATTTTATTTAGATTTTTCAAAGAGGAATTTAAGATTTATATGCAATCAATTTTAGCAATATAATTTCGTTGATAAATAGTTAACTTTCGAAAAAATGTGTTACTAAAATTATTAATAAAAATGAAGGAGAAAATTTTGGATTTATAAATTAAAGATAATGTGAGTGATATAAAATTACTGTTGATAATGCCATTTCGGGAATTTTCAATATTCCCCAGGTTTGTCCAATTTCCACCACTTCAGCTGCTAAAGTTTTAGGTCGTTTCAATGACTGTACAGTAACTACGAATTCGGATAGCCTAGAATTTCAGTTGGCAAGTCTTTGTCTTAAAATTGTGTTTCAAACTGACTGTTAATGAATTCAATGAAATTTAAAGGATGAAATTAATTAATCATAGCCAAATATCTCCTTATCACATTTTTCACCAATGGCGGCACATGTAATTGAAATTAGAAACCGCATTCATTTTTTTTTTATTGGTAATTTTTAATATTGGTAGTTTTTTTTTTTTTTAATTACAATTTCATTTTTGAAGTAAAATCATAAAAATAGAAAACCTTGCATGAATCCTACCTTCTTCCAGTTGTTGCATTCAACAAGCAATGTGATGAAGTCAATATCAGTTGAGTAGAAATGATGGTTCCGGTACAACTGGTAACAATGTTTGATGATACCTCACGAGAAAATACCTAAATTTTTTCGTTTGTAACAAAATTAGTTACGATAGCAATACTTTGTTTTATAATTAAAAAACTAACTTTTTAAATTTTTTCATATTAATTTTTTTTTAATTCGGTCATCTTGTGCAGAAAAAACATAACACATGCAATCCACGTACGTCACTGACGTTAATTTATATCAGAGAATGAAGCTTATCCTGAGAAAATATTATGCAATGATAAATTAAGTATTCGTTCTGAGGTATTTTCAAATAATATTTTGATAAGTTTCATTTTGATATTTAAAACTGATAATTAGTTTTGTGATCTGATGCAATGGTTACTTGAGTGAATCGATACTCTAATAATTACTGTCAATAACATACATATCACATGTCTCGAATTTGGAATCTGTTAAGCATAAATTTATGTCAGAGAATGAAGCTTATCCTAATAATGTTTGTTCTAATATTTATTAAGTATCACACAGTCTAAATGACTGGTCGAAAAATGTTATGAGAACAAAAATAATTGAATTTCATTTGTATCACTATTTCAATCAATTTATTTGCATGCTTTTCGGTTTATACAAGTAATAGTCTTTTTTCGATTAATGATTTAAGGCTTTCAGTTTTTATTATTATTGATTTTACGGAATTTTTAGAGAACAAATGATGTATATGATTTCTTTTCTCGTCTCTTATTTTTTGAAAAAAAACGAAACTTGAAAATTCTTTTAATTTTGAAAAGTAATAAAATTATGAAAATTTGTAGTTTTTATTCATTAAAAGAAAAACAATACTATATAAAAATACTTTAACAAGGAAACCAAATCGATTCCAATTCTTCTCTTCACCACCAATAATTGCCATTGTATCAGAGGGCATTAGCCATAGTATGATGGATGATAATGTAATGTTGAATAACTTCAGAAAATGCATCATTAACTTAGATTGATTGGAAGTGGAAAATATAATAATGCTAAGAAGGCGAACTTTGATGTAATAAAAGAAGCTTTGAATAATAGACAAAATGAATGGAAGAAAAAGATTGCTTGGATGGATCGGTGGCAAACGTTTTGCGTCATTTCATTATCTTCCAACTCCTACCTCCTTCTGATTGTTAGAAATGATAACGATGAATTGGAATGATAAGTAGCATATAAAAAGATATTCATCATCTTTAAGTCTTTGTTAAACTATATTTCCTATCCTGCCATATGACATCACTTTCTCAAATCAATTTTTCCTTTTTCTTTGTAAGAAGAGGAAAATGAAAGAATGATCATTGATAAAAATATTTTATTCAAATATGCAAATATGAAATCGAATAAAGAAAATTTTAAATATGAAACACGCATACTACAAACTCCGAAAGATTTATTACGAAAAAATTTTTTTTCTTATTTTTGTTAAGGAAATACAAATTAAAGAAAAAAGTGTAATATTTGAATAAATACTATTCTTCAAAAAATAATTTCAATGATAAAAATATATTTAAAGTTTGTATTTTCAGAATTATAACATGAAACGTCGAATATACATGCAATTTTGATCCCTAAAGACCAATTTCGTAATAACAAAATCTTATTGTCATGTTTTATTTATTATAGATATGATCTTTTTTAATGATATCAAAAATTTTGAAATAAAAAGCAAAAACCACTTCTCATTATGGCAAAAGATAACGAACAAATGCTATTATAATTCCAGAAAAAAACTAAGGTAGCACAAAACCACCTAAAAAAGATCAAACTAATGGGTCGGCAAACAATAACGTATTAAGATGGAGAATTAAATTTCATTTGTATCGCCACTAAAACTGAGATGCGATAAATGTCCAAAGAAAATAACGCTGAACTGATTTAAAAAATAGGATTTATCATTTCATATAATCATGAACAAAAATAGAAAAAGGAATTTTTTATTCGATAAATTACATTAGAACACCCAACATACAAAGCATTAGCTTGTTACTTTGATATTTTTAGTTAATTTTTTAAAGATTTCAACATCTCCGTAAGTTTCTTCATTTAAAGAAAGCATCAAAGGTTTTCCATATATTACAGCAGTAGCAAGAGGAAACCATATTTTGAACATATCTGCCGATTTGTTCGAATCTACTACATCTTCTGCTCGAAATCTTAGTGCTCTTTTGCCCAGGAAAAATCCAAAGTGTACTGATGTGAAAATCTAAAATGCTGTTCAAATCATACCTTGTTTTAGAGCAAGAAATTATGTAAGCCTAAATGATATGATTTCAAAGCATGGAAATGTTTAAAAAGGCATTGAAATTGAAAGTAACACCACTTTAAACCTCGACATCAAAACATAATAATGGTTACCAGTCAAAAAAAAAATGAAGATAGCAAGCATCTTTTACGCAAGATTTCACGATGTAAACAAATTAAAAAAACTGATTTAATAATCACGAGATCAAAAAGTCAGCAGAAGAATTGATTAATCTTCATGAAATATTTCAAAAAATATACCTCCGTATTCGGATTATAATATAAATCAATTATATATCGTTTTACCAAGATCTGATGTAATAAAATCGGTGTAAACGCATACAAAATGAAGAACGAATCCAGAACTATAAATTACATTAATAAATATCAGAAACAAAAAATTCCATACAATGCACTCCGTTACTTTACACTGTTATTTACTTGAGAAAATATAAATCACAGTGTAAAAAAAGAAATAAAAACATTGGTTGTTAGATCGCAACAATGCACACAAAAACCCTGAAAATACCAAATATTCAACAAATGAAGTACATTTCTCCTCAAATTTCAGAAAGTCAACTTAGACAAAAGAATTGTCAAGCGCACTGTTGAAAACTTCCGGTTAAGTTGTTAAAAAATAAAAAGAAAAGTGAAAAAATGGAAGCAAACCTGCAGTAATAGTGCCAGTCCCTGATTTCCGAGCTGCAAGTTGTGATATTATTGGTATCATAGCAAGACTAACAGCTGAACTGGATAGTGATAATATCTAAAATGAGCAAAAAAGGAAGCCAAAAAAGATAAATGCTCAGAATAGCTTGACTACTCGAACATTTTAAATAAGAAATTCAGAAAAACTAACTTTTGCAGCGAATACCATTTTTGGAGACAGAGTTCCACCTTCTTGCACAATTTTTAATGAAATATCCTTATCACTATTGGCTAGAACTGAATGACCTAAATCTGAGGATGGAATATAACGCAAAGGTACGAACGCTCGTGATACAGCTGTGGAACTTCGATTAATGTCCGCTGTTTTACCTATAACATCACTGTTACTCATTTGTTAATCGTTCTTGAATCAGTACCTGTCAACAGCAATGATGTCATTTTTTTCCGAATGACTGTAACATCAAACAAAAGTATATCGACATGTCAGATGAAAATTAGCTCTTTAATATTTTCTCTGACATATGAACACAAGCGAAAATCAAAATGTAGTGCACAGTACATAAAAAACTATTTTTATTAAACAATTAGCATAGTCAGTATAATTTTAAAATAAATAGCTCTAGATTTAGAAATAAGGATTTTAAACTCTACTCACCATGACTTGAGTGCACTGTTGAAAACTTCCGCACGCAAACAAGCCCAGAGAAAGTGAAAAAATCTCTAAAACATTTAATTCGACGAAAGGACATTTCGGTTAGAATTCCACCACAAAATAAGATAAAAATTTCATATAGTATTAGAAAGCTACCGCATATACGAACACTTTCAAACAACAACCTGAAATTTTTCTCAGTAAAAACGACAAGTCTCACCGACACAAAAAACATGTACCGAAGGAAAATATCGAATCGCAATATGGGATAGCATCCAATGATTTACTATTCTTGAAATCAGTTGTTAAAAAAAAAGGACACAAAAAATACTCAAAAATCATGATAATGCCATACTTCGATATTAAGTTTTATTTAGATATTTTCGCACATTCACCTTCGATTTTGCTTTTTAATCTTAGAACCATAGTATAGTATAGAAAATCATATTTTATGATACATCTTGGAAAACTTATTTTTGGTAGAACACAAACAATTAGTCTTAAATAAACAAAAAGACAAAAGGATATACAATAATTCCGTTAAATCTGACTGTTATAAAAATATCAATTAACACATAAGAAACAAGACTTCATCTGCGATACAGTGAAAAATCAAAAGAAAATTTGGATCATTACATAATAAAGTGAAGTTCACATGAGTATAATTTAGCTGAAGCAAAAACCTTATGTATAAGAGTAAAATATATCATAAAGTTATTCTACACTACCATATAAATTTCTATTTTTACATATAAACTTCTTTAAATAAAAACTGCAATTATTCGCTGCAAAAAAAAAAAAATGTTAAAATTAGATAATAAAAAAAAAAATAAAACAATGAATGAGCAATATTTAAAGTCGCACGACAGATTCTACTACTTATACTATTAATCGAAATAAATAAACTGAAAAGACCTCCTTATAAATCGTAACATGGCTCTACGCATTCAATCACTGCTTTTTCTTTATCGTACTACTTTTCCGTATCTTCTCTGTTACAACCATCTTCTTTGGCTAAAAATTTTTACTATATGTTTTGAAGTCTTAACGAAACATGGCATGAAATCCCCTCAAACAAAAATCTATTGTCATGTAAACTTTCTAACAATCACAAATATCTACAAGTCTTGAAGAGGTAAATTTGTGAACCTTTATTGGTTTCTCTCCTTCATCATCCATTCCTTTTACTATGAAGTATAGATCTGCGAAGAAAACAACAGTGGCAATTACTAGACCAAGAGCTACTCGAAATGCCACATTCAGATGTAAATTTGGATAAGCATAACCTATTCCTAAAATACCAAAATTTTTGATATTCATGAAGAAAAACTGAAAGTCTTGCAACAATAATGAGAACATTAAGAAAAAATAACCAACTCCCTCAAAGTTTGAAATACAAAAAGTAGGACAATGAATCTTATTGAAAATGATCCAGTACATATTTTAATTACTTTAAAAAATACTTTTTTGAAACCAAAAAACGTTTACCAAAATATCCGAATGAAAAACCACCAGCTACTGTGAGAAGTGTATTTAATATCACCATCAACTGTCTATTCACTGCTTTCATTTCCTGCAATACAAAAGCACTTTACAATCATCGTTCCACAACACAACTGAGATTCAGTGATTATCATAATCGTAACAGACCACTTACTAACCGCTGTTTAATGTTCAGAGCATTATCATTTACAAATTATAATTATATTTCCCAAAACACAGTAAAAATACAAAAAACATACATTTAAGAGAAAAAATAGTTCATGGAAGCTTATAATTTCACTGTCGTCAAGCAAGAAAATGAAAGTTAAGTAAAGATCAATCTTATAAGGAGAATTCTAACAGCAACTAGTAAATTCACACTTCAGCAAATCCATGTAACAAGTTTTCACGCCCATAAATCTGGTTAGGATCAACTGATCGTGTCATCTTACGATATTCGCGATCTTCCTGAAACAAAGTCCTTTTATCTTTCCGAATAATAATTAAGCCCCAAAATCAACTGCACATATAAACACGTAGTTCATTTTTGAATAAATCTTGAAATAAAAAAATGAACCTTACTCGAAGTTTAAAAGATCATGGTACTTTCTAAAAATTTTAAAGAAAAAGTGACGAATTACAAACAGTTTCCTAGATATTTACCTCTTCTCGCCTCAACTTTTCTAGTCTAGCCTCATATTCGGGATCAACTTTTTTCTCAATCACTGGAACATGAGGCTTAATCTTCCCAACAAACTTGTAGACAGGAAATTTCTTAGAAAGAGACTTCAAAATGGGCATCATTTCATCGCAATCAAATATCATCATTCCCTGCTGCAACAATAACAATAAGTGTTGTGTAAACTGTCACACTTTTATCACACCTTATTTTGGGCTAAATTATTTATTCATCAAAACATCTCTGATTTCCAATACACTACGTAACTTCAAGATTACCAAAAGAATCAGTCTTAATATTAGAATTGCTAGTAGTGCGAAATTTCCACCTTTACTAAACGATTACTTCGTACATTCATATCCGTATCACCCACTTCATCCAGCCAATCATGTAACAACTCAATACCGTCTTTCGGTACCGCCCACATTATCAAGCAAAAACCTGAAAAGATTGTTACCCTGAATGTGCCAAATAATAACCCAAACAGGCTGAACAGCAACAGCATCAACTGTTCAATCGGTCTCCTCTCTGATATGTTCATAGCTTAGCTTTCGTTCATTACAAAATAATCCACTACCTTAAGCAAACGCTTTGAACAGACCTGAGTTAAAAGTGACTGCTTCAAATATCAGTCCTTGAAGTGTCCTTTAAAGAGAAATTACCGCATGGCACTTGAAGGTAGCAAATATTTCTGGAATATCTCAATGCAAACATACCCAGGACACACACTTTCGAAACAAAATAAAATGCTCCGTGGTCATATCGCATAATTATACTCTTCTAGTAGCTAAAAAAATTCCCAGTCTGTAAACATGCAAAAATCGATAAAAATTTCCGAAATACCGCTTTATACTAAAACAATTCTTACAGGAAACAAACTTTAATACTTGAAAAAAGAAAAACAAACAAACAAATAATGTAACAGTAAAATCCGAGGCAATTTTTCGTTGATAAATACGAAACAATAATATCAAATTTTAGAAATTCTGAGAAACAGTTTGAGAATGACATCCAAAAACCATGAAAACTGTTAAATTATTAGAATGCACACGTCAATGTTGGATACAAATGCTGAATCTGTCAATTCTTCCAGAGGATGTTCAACGATTTGAAAAATCCATATATCAATGAAGTACTACATTAAATTCAAAAGATTCCGACTGCTATAAGAAAAATACTGAAAAAGAAATATATGGAACGATCTAAGACACAATTCACTGGTATCAGAACAAACAAGTTACCCTACAAGATGAAATAAATATACAACCAACACAGAAAAGAGTCGCCATAAAGCAAAATGGCAACCCGTAAAAACTAAGAAATCCAGAGATACTCCATCGCCCTTCATTTCTTAACATCGCACTTCATCAAACAAATGTGTGCAGTTTCCCTGCATTTTCAAACACTTTATCCGAAATAAGTGACAAAGTAAACATTCAAAACTTTGTTTAAAATCAGAAATTTTTTTTTTACATTACTTGTGTATGGAAATGTAAAAAAGGACATTAATGATAAACTTTGGAAAAATGGACTTCTGAATCTTCTAAAAAATGGACTTCCCACAACTAGAAGAAATCTGGGAGACTAAATAATGAATAACATTATAATTTTTGAGAAGCACTTATTTTCATTAACACATTTTGAAAAGTGAGGGCTGGAGATTCGTTGACTTATAACACTTTAAATGAAGTTGATAGGTCACTAAAACAGAGAACTGTTCAATATATTTCAGCTGTATTTGTTTTTTCCCCATTAGAAATATATGCATAAAACCCCAGAATTATATTTTATTCTGAAATAGGGAAACAGTAAGAATATCGGGAATAACTGTGGGAGATCATTTCATTGTCACCAGAAGTATATCATAATGAATTCAACGAAATCTCCAACAAAGTAGATGTCAAAACAAATCAACCCAGTGTAAAGCAGATCACGAGGATCATAAAATCAGTTCTATTGTAATCCAATAGAAATTGATAGAAGGCAGAAAAATTGAAAAAATTCTTAAATGTTGCTTAAATATAACGCCAGAAGTACAATTTCAAGTAATTCTAAAGGCAGTGCACACACTGAACAAACAAAGGGCCTAAATGACCGGTACAAAAAAAGAAACAGACAACAAAACTGCCATAAACCTTACGCAGGAATTAATTAGCAGTGGTCAGTAATGATTTACAAGATTACAGTTAAAGAACAAGTCTATTTCCATCAATACTAGTATTTTAATATAACTAATATAATATAAAATGACACTACCAAAAAATACATGCACATTTTTAAGCAACACTACAAAAGAAAAAACAGTTTTAGGAGCTTGCTTCTCAGCACTTATAAAATTCATATTACCAAAAGTCATAGAAAGAAATTCGATCTGAAACCATGTGGTCAAATTAATCAGCTATCACTCTCATTAAATCATCTCTACAACTCTCAAAGTTATCCGCAGATACTCTAGTTTACAACTGCTTTTTGGAATTTTATTTAACAGTAGTGCCTCAAAAAAACAAATGTAAAAAAACCCTTTTCAGACCATCCATTAATCCGTGAATATTGCAAGTACAAACGCTTATGTATCCATTGATATTTGTATATATGGACGCTTCATCACTCGATTTCTGGTAGGTGCATCGTTCTGTGTTTCATTTGCAGCACTCAATGCTACCGAAGATGAAACGGAATTCCTGAATGCATCACAACGAACGTACAACAGCATGTACGCCTGTGTATTGTGCAGTTCAGATAGAGAAACTCTGTGACGCTAGAAAAGCAAGTGTTTAAAATCATTGTCACGGTGACAAAAAAAAAAAAGTTCGTCGGAATGACTGTCATTCTAATTTAACATCACCAAGTGCAAAAATACTGGAGGAAAGTTTTAAAATCTACAAAACTAAACATATCAGAATGCACGTCAGATACAGTGCTCATATTCCAAAAAAATTTTTTTTGCTTAATATTCCAAAACAAATATACTTGCTATTATTAAATACTAATAGACAAATCAGTAAAGTGATCTGCGGTAAATATTTTACGCTTCATTCCACACTTTCTGAAAACTTAAAAACGATCACTCTAACATACACGACATTACGCTGAAGCGACTCAATGAAAAACCAAAAACGGAGATGGAGATAAGTACGGTAGTTATATAAATGTTATATGCAGCTAATTTCTTTTTTACTTCAGTCAAATTCCATATTTCATCAGCAAATAAACTAAATGTCGATTACAAAAAACAATATTTATACACTAAATACCTGTTCATCATCGAACATATAATAACTTCTACCATCAAAACCTCTTACAACAGCAATATAATGACCATGTTCCACTGCATTACCCATATGTTGAACAATACCAGTAAGTTCGTAAACATGTGATTCTCCTGCACGATGAATATATTGTTCGAGATCCAGCCTCAACTAAAAAATACTAGCAACAATAAATGCAATTTTTTTATATAAAATTTTATATAAATTTTGTTTTTTTGTTTTTATTTTATATAAAATGAAGGGCATTATGCAGTGGTCAACGAATTACAGCAATCTTGAACTAAAAGGCGAGTAGATTCAAAAGAAGACTGTATCAAAAGCACAATGCAGTCATTTGAAGACATACTATAGGCCAATGGATGCTCATGGTATAACGCAAGACAAGTTTTTTTGAAACAACATACATTGAAATTAACATGAACGCCTATTTTTCCACCAAACGAATTGAACCGTTTTATCTGGATAAGTAAAAGGTTCGGTGCGCGCAGAATACGTGAACTACGTTGAATTTGCGTCGTCCTCTTACAGCTGCAGATTTCATGATTATAGAACATATCTCTTAATTCCGGGACACTTATTCCTTCTCTTTGATCATTTTTCCGACTTCTTCACTACTCCACTAAGGTACTCACATCAATTAAAATTCAAATATCATCTCTTGATTTTAAACTAATCTTTGTGCTTTTTTTGTCCCCTCACTTAACTTATTCTTTCAAGTTATATTTCAAGAATTTGTCAGTTCAATTCTTGAGCCAAAAACAAAAGATACTTAGTGCATTTAAAACTGTTCAACACTTCGCTGCCAAAATAATCGTCGAGCAAATCCTCCAAAGTTATCCGCCTATCATAACCTGTTTTCTTTATGCCAAGGTTAAGCTCCCGAAAGCGCTCGTAATTTATTAGTATTGCAGAACAAGCCGAACACTGAATTTGATTTCGTAATGTTCCGACAAAAAGTTGTTCCACTGGTGTTGAAAAGCGTGGTCCACTAAAAAAATAAAAACAAGCCTAGTTTTCAAGGAATAAGAATAATCTCTAATTCCAGCTAAATCAAAGTTTTTCTGGTTTTTTATATTCTAAAAGATATTCTCATGCAATAACAACACAAAAAGTACTTTAATGGATCTGAGAAATTACGATCAGAAGAGGACATTCCATTCCGTGCTTCTGAATCGAGAGCATCCAGTATGTGATTCAGAGCTTCATGAGCATCTTCCTGTGCACCTAACAGGTGAGATGGAAATGCCTCTGGAAAACGGTGGGTAACTTATAACAAATCAACACATTTCTAAAACCTTATTTATAAAAGCATATTTTGATTTATAAAGTATAATTCAACAATGTGTTAAACAAGAGATAATCCTACTTTCCAGAATGAAACTAATCCAAGCTGGTTTGAATGGTTGTCTGCTCGACATTGAATACCTTATAAATCTCGCCAGACCACAAGCGACACAATCCTTCACACCTGCAATTTAAATTTAGCACAAAAAACGATCAAACAGAACATGAAATATAGCAGTGAAACAAGAAAGTTAGCTTACAAGAAAATAAGGGGAGATGCTCGCCAAGATATCGTGCAAACGGAATGCAGTGCAAAATAATCTGAAGAACAGCGTTTAAAAAGCAGTCGTTGGAATAGTTACAAAGTCCAACACCAACATTACGACCATCCGGATTCTGAAAATAAAATAACAGAAGTTTCAGAAAATTCAAAGCAATGAAATCACTTCAAAATTAATGGATATACAAATATTCTGAACACTATCTTGAAAATAAATCTAAACAGACCAGAACACGGCTGCCTTCCCATGTTGCATAAAATACTGTACGACTATTTGCAGGGAATCTGGTTTCCAATTCGCTGCTTTCTGGTATCAATCGTTTTCCTTCAGCTTTACCGTTCAGAATTCTATTACCCTGAAACACATAAATGAAAGAGTACAAGAATGTCGCCACCGTTGAAGAATCAGAAACAGACTTTTCGATCATAACGGAGTGTTATTCAATCCAGCTAACCATATCGCACACTACTCCTTTACCCCTAAACTTTTTCTCTGAAGCCTTGGATTTTCCTGAACGAAAACTTAAGTACTACAAAAGGAAATAGACTTTGAGATAAACTTCTTTTCCTAATGAAAATCCTTCCAAAAGTTAT